TTTCTGGTCCCCACCTGTCGTTTTGCTCCTCAGCATGGCTTCCTAAAAACGCTGCAGGATTTCTCAAACATGCATGAATGAGTCAAAGCAAGGCTTTAGGTATGTTTTTATGAGAGTATAACATTATAACATGATATAAAACTCAAAAAAGTTGATTTTACATGATATTGCCCCTTTAACACAACATGTCATTGAGCCAAACAACGYTGACACACAACTGCTTGTTCAAAAAGAAGTGTTTTAACTTTACCCAATGAACAGATTCAGGAGGGGCATTTAATTTTTTTTCTGATTTAATGATAGGTCTAACAACAAAAACAGGCATGACATTATGCAGCCTTCAGAATATAACGTGACACTGTACCAAACCATGGTGACACAAAGTATATATAAAAAATGCTTACAGGTTACTTACTACCTACATTGTTACCATAATTTCTACCAATTCCTAGAAATGAAAGTTAAAATCAAATTAAACCAAGAATTAAATTAAAGCCTATAAGTCTGCTTTAAAAGGTAAAGAAATCCAAACTTGTGTGTGTATCTCCTTAGGTTTAGGCCTCTGTATATATAGTGACCTGAATCAAATGCAAGACAATGTGAATAYAATTTTATTCAGAAAAATACTTGCAGCAAAAATAAAACTCTTTGTTTGCTGACAAAGATTTGACAGTCAAGTTTATAAGAAAACATGAACAATATGGCTGAACAAAAAAAAAAGAAGTTTTTTTTAATATCACAAACTTTGTGCCCTGCAGTTACAGGGCGTGTTCAGTTCCTTTTATTCTTGTGTGCCTTTGAGCTATCGGTGTGTGTCTGAGCTGCTGATAGCTGTCTCCACGCATCCATGATGAGCGCCAGGGGAAYGACAACCCACAGCACGTTCATGAACACAAAGTAGAACCAGAAGTAGACAGGATGTCCTAACTCACTGTGAGCATAGCCGTCTCTGTGTTCTGTGAAGAAATAAAGCACTGCTCCATACAGCTGCCCTGGAGTCAGAATATAAAATAAAAAAAAGAAAATACATTAAGGCTAAATAACTGGTCCATGCATTAAGAAGTTTAGTAGTTCCAGCTTCTTACCTAATGAAATGATGAGCTGCAGAACAAATCTGTAAGGCTTATTGGTTAAAAAAGAATACACAGCCCAAAAGCTGAATGGTCCCCAAAGCCAAGCAGTCACGGACTCCATACAAACAGTAAAGTTATCAGCTCTAAATTTTAAAGGAGAAGAGATAAACCAAAGTTGAATGTTTCAGTTCTGTTTTATAGTTTATAGTTCTTAAAAAAGCAGAAAACAGACATACATTACATATCTGCTGTCTCCCTTGGAGTACTCTTTCCCTGGGAGAGAAAAAAATATAAGCATTCACTCAAAATGATCTTCACAGTTTGTAAAATTTTACTAACAGGTTTTTGGTACTCACACAGCTGTGACAGGAAGCTCTGATCTCCTGGCAGAATAKCATAGTACAGTGAAAACCAGCCCTCAATGACACTGTGGATGAAACCACAAACTGCAAACCAGCACAAAGCCAGACGCCTCCAGGTGCCCAGCCTKCCGGTGGTCCCAGTGATCAGCCAGGTCACGAGCAGAAACACTCCGGACACAGAAAAGAGAAAAAACAGAATCTCTGACATGGACCGGTCGTTTTCCACATAGGTGGGTATCACAAGGTCTCGTGGCCAGTAAGGATGTAGAGCTCTATGTGTTGCAGCCATCACCTGTTTGGAAACAGAATACATGTAAAACATGCATGATAAACCATACATGTACCCGTATCGAACAGTGCTGTCTCGAACAATGCAGATTTTAAAAATTTACTTTATCAACTTGTCTTCTGAAGATGCTCTGTCTTGAAAGATCAGTGGATCTGTGTTCAACTACTCCACCTAGGCTGCATTTTTGAGCTCAGATCCACTGAGAAACTTGCTGTTTCAGCAACATTTAATTTAAAAACTGTACTTTTGAGGTTAAACAAATGTTCA